AGACATGTTAAGGAAATTTCTTGAAGTCAAAATCAAACCAGTGACATCGGAAGCAAAGGAAACTACCGGCGGCTATGAAAGAGATGAGAACCCTAACACATTTAGGGGAAGGAAAAATCCATAAGTGGAGATCCTGGAGAGAGAATACGAAATGCCTCCTCTAGAATCACTTTTTAGAGAGGAGAAGAGCATTGACTATGCAAGAAGGGGTAATGAATTTGTAAGGAGAGGGATGATTTTGATCGTCGAGGTGATGAATTTGTAAGGAGAGGGATGATTTTGATCGTCGAGGTGCTGATTTTGAAAGACAAAGAGGGGATTTTGATGAAAGGTTTGGGTATGATCGTCAGAGGGAAGATCGTGACAATTGGGGAGCACCTCCTCTTCAAGGAATGGGGTTTATGGAGGATTTAGGGGAAACGGGTGTGACCCGAGGGTGATGAAACTGAAGATGTCAATCTTTGAGGGGGAGGATGCGCACGGGTGGATCTATAAGGTAAAAAGATATTTTGTCTTCAACGGGTTGACAAAGAAGGAGAGACTGACGGCAGTGGGCCTATGTTTGAAAGGGAAGGCTTTGTCTTGGTATCAGTGGAGGGACATGCGACGACCCATACGGAATTGGCGAGAGTTCAAGGATTGTTTGGTAGAACATTTTCGAACTAGCTGAGGAGGAGACTTCTACGAACAGTTCTTCGCCTTGACATAGGAGGGTTTAGTGACGGAATACCGGGTGAGATTCGAGTACCTTGCTAGCCGATTAGACTGCCTTCCTGAAACAGTGCTAGAAGAAAATTTCATGAAGGGACTGACACTAGATATCCCGGCAGCGGTTAGAGTAATGAAGCCTCGTGACTTGGGAAAGGCTATAGACTAGCTCAGTTGATGGAGGATCAGAGGTACCTTGAAATAGAAACTATAGGCAATAGCTGAGTAGGCTCGTATAGGATGACAACCACCTTTTTGGCACCTAAGGAGCCAACACCGGGTACTCTTAGAGAGACTTCGAAGGAAAAGATTATCGGAGGAAGACCTGGGGAAAAGTTCAAGAAGCTCACAAAAACATAATTATAGGAGAAGATGGCAAAGGATCTGTTTCAGATGCAACGAGAGATATACGCCGGAGCACAGGTGTAAGGAACAAACTCTTTAGGTTCTTACCATTTGTGACGAAGAAGGAATGGAGGAGGGTATCATCTTTCCACCTTGCAGACAATGTGGATCTTTGAGAAGAGAGTATTGTTAGATCATTCCATTGGTTTGGAAGGATCGGTCCAACCGGTCCACACGGGACCGGCCCAGGCGCTAACAGAGGCGGAAACCTTCCGCCTCCTGTACACCTGATCAGATGCGTAGAGCAATGTAGAGCAATTTAGAAAGTTTTTTTGAGAAAGTTTAGGAGCGAAATTGATTATAGGGATTGTTTAGAGATTTTTTTTTAATTGTATACATTAAATAGTTTGTTTTCCTAGGGCTAGGACATCTTGAATTTGGCTGAAATTTGAGATCTCCTATATTTAGGTTTTCCTTTGGGCTCTAGCAGCGTCTAGAGATTGGGAGAGATCGATCCTCCTCTCGAATAGAGGATCAATTGTATCTTGGTATTTTTCCGCTTCCTTTTCATGAAATAATACAAATTATCTACGAATTTTGTGGTTTTGTGTGAATTTTTGTGGAGAAATCTCGCTATTTTACAAAGATTGATAGGAAAAATTTGAGATCTACAAGTATTTCCTATCAGATATATAAGAACATTTAGGAGAAGATTAATCAATATACATGTGATCTATGATAAGTAACTTAAAGATGAGGCGAGAATGCATGCATGTCATCATAATATGAGTTGTAAAGTGTTATTATCAGACATAAATAGGAATTGATTCATCCATATTGTTCCTTTAAATGAGGCATCATTCAGTCAATGTCTTTACATCAATGAGGAAGTGCCTTTAAAGGTGATGCTAATTTAAGACGGCTGGTATGAGTTTGAGGAAATAATGGGAGAATTTGTTATGAGTATTATTTTGAAGAGATTTATTTGGCTCATTTTATTTAAAATATTTTTTATTTTAGGATTTTTTGTGGTGTTTAAACCTATTTTCCTATGTGTCATGTCTCTTAGGTTTTTCCAACAAAGAGTTCAAATCAAGTGTCTTTATAGCGAAAAACAACTTGAGGTTGCTACATGTGAAGCTCTATATCTCACCTCCACTCGTGTGAGAGCTATTGGAAACCTCAAATTGCCTGTCAAATTTGTTTGGGTATGGCTTTTCGTAATTTAGCACATCATTATGTGTCAACTTATCATGTACATTACAATGTATGATTATTTTATTGCATCAATTCTCACATTGCCTGTACTCCTGCTTGATCTTTATTTCCTATGCATCAACTGCAGCATCAAGCATGTATGTTTCATGCATTTTCTTACATTACAATTCCAAAATGTGCTTCTATGTAGTATTGTGAAAGGTGTTTGTGTAAATCTTGATTGCAGGAGGGTATTGATTTGGATATAACATTGGGCATCCATTGGATAGATATTAGAAGTGGTTGGGTAGTTAGAGGCATGCAAGAAGCCATTTACTCGAATAAAATTAATGTTTGTTCGTATTTCTTGTGATGTTATGATTTGTATAAGATTTATAAATCTTGTAAGACATAATTTTATGAAAAGAATCCTAAGAATTTTTTTCTATCCTAAAGAATTTCCCCCATCATACTTCCTTTCGCTACCAAATATTTTATGATTCTTGATAACATACATATTTGTATCTTCGCCGGGAGATTGAAATATGTACTACTTTTTGGTAAATTTTTGCCAAGCAAGTAGAAGAGGTGAGCAAAACTAAGAATGTATCGCAACCAAGAGATGATTAGGCAACATTAAAATGTGGTGCGCATGTTTCATGATCTAGATAAATCTCTTCATCAAGCTTTGATTATACAATACCAAATAATGGAGATCCAATGCAATTGAATCATATTTGTGGCCTTCTATTTGGCATGGCTCAATAAAGAGTGGCAAGAAAGTTTGAAAGGTTGTGTGAGTGAATGGAGAGGAAGACTACAGAAAAATAAAAGACAGGGAAAATGGGTATATCAGAGAGAGATTTGAGAAAGAGAGAGGGTAATAAATATGATAGCAGTCGCACAACAATATTTCATAATCAAATCAACAATTACCCTTAATACTAAAGGCTCATATTTAAAGACTAAAATACTTATTGAAAGGAATAATATGTCCTTATCACATAAAACAATATGACAGAAATACATATTTAATGAACATAAACATAGCATAACACATGGTGCTATCTGGCACCTTTTTAGGGATAAATTAGTCCCCGACCAAACTCTTTTCGTACTATGATTGCCAATGTTGCCCCAACATAAAGGTCAATATTTAAATGAAAATTAGTTTCCACTACTCATCATCCTCTTTCACCCCATCCCCAATGTTATTGTTTCCAATGTACCATCATGACAATCGATGGATTTACCTCAATTAGCATTACCACTTTTAGTACTTTTCCCAATGCTCTCTACTTTCTATCCCTCCTCCACATCGATCCTACTATTGTTGATGTCATGTTGTGTTTGATAAGTTATTAATTGAACATGATTACACCGACAAGCTTGAAATTAAGTTTCTCTAGTGAGCTAAGCACAAATTGGCACTCCTTGAATTCAAATGCAACAGCCAGCTCAAGCTCAACACATCATTTATATCTCAAGTCTCACTTGAGAAAAATTTAACTTTCCATGATATTAAATTTATCTTATCAGGCTTCAAAAAATTGCATCATATGCATAATTCCTATCTCTATGAATAGATTAAATTTCAATTCCCCCTATTCAAATTGTTGATAAGACATGGCAACATAATTCCACATAGAGCCAAACAAATCCTTCAAATGCCATAGAATAGTTATTAGTTTTTTTTTACTCATACTTTTCATCACTAAGTAGATGATAGAGGATGAAGTACAAATAAACTACAAGAAAATTGATTTTGATGTTTACCATAGGTGATGTATGAAATTGAGTCAACCAAGTAATTTAAATATGAAAATCATCCCATATCTTCACTATCATAGCTCTCCCAAGCTCTATATAGTTATTATCAAAAACTTGAAATGCATGAAATTTTCAACGCCTTAATAATTGCATGAAGACACTTATATGGGGCCCATAAAGACTCCATAGCTAATCCAAGACCAGCATCCTCTCATATCTTCCATGATCCCGTAGACTATAATGCATAATACCACCTTAGATGGCTGCAATCCACACAGTCTATCTCCACAGAAGGACTTCTCTGGTATATCTTATCCATGTTACCTTTCTATTTTATAAGCTGACATATTTTCTTGCAGCTTCAAGCTGGGGTTGATCAGAAAACGATGTTCTCAGACCACAATACTTCCAAAGTCTAATTTATTTCTAATAGATTTAAAGAACGGCCACCTTTTGCATTGAATTTAAAGCATTGATTTTATCACAAAGTTCTAAAGTCAGACCAGTATAACAGCCGTCACGTCAAGGGTAAGGAAAAAATCATTAACAATGAAGATTAACTAAAGTTCTTTTTTTTTAAAAAAAAAAACATAAGTCCATTAAAGATTTGCAACTGAAAATCTCAACAGAAGTAAAACAAAAAGTAATAAAGACAACAATGAAATCAACTTCAGGCCTGGTTTCCAATCCTCACATCAACACAACCAGAATCTTACCTTCAGAACCAAATAGATGTCCATCGAAATCAAGTAATCGCATTCATATGCAACGGCTAACTTGACAAATGCTTCCCCGGGTACAATACTTGGGTAACGAGTTCAACAAAATGAAGCCTTTATACATAAATATTACATATTAAAAAAAAACTTAAACAAGGTTGACAGTAGAAACAATAAACAGGCCACGAAAGAAACCCTAATTGCCCAAAAAAGCAACCGATAGCAAAACAAAATCATTGAAAGGAGTGGAAAAGAACAAACCGGTAAGACGATGACGAGGGTTATCAAGAGCCTCAACGAGAAAAGGGTCGACCTGAGAAAACGTTTCCCTACCCTCCTCCCCCATTGCGCGACCGATATCGTGTGCCGGTATACAGGATAAAAAGCTCGGCGTAGACTCCATCGTTTTAAAGCTTTTTCTGTTACTTTTTTGACCTTCTACAGAGAGAGAGGATAATGAAATAGAGGAAGAAGAGCGCAAAATGATTCCTGAATCCAGATCCCTCTTGTCACTTTCTCTCTCTGTCTGGCTCCGTGAGGGCGACGACGGACCTTCCTTTATTCATTAAAATAAAAAATCAAAGAAGCAATTATTAATAATCTCAGCCGTCCACGTGTATGATTTTTGTTAATCTATTATTTTTTACTTGCCTGACCGCAAAACCGGATAGCGCTGGCCGGCAACTTTTAGAGGGAAATCACGATCTGTAGATCAGGGCCGTCTATTTCTTTGTTGCCCGGCAGAACGGCTATGATGCACGGCAGAGCTCAATAATTGTTCCACTCAACGGTCTGGATGGCTCTGTATCTCGAAAAATTATTAGGTGCGGAGTGCAGACGGGGTGAAAACCGTCTGCACAGACACAGAGTACCGAGCGGTACCCAGCGGTACCGAGTGGTACCGAACGGTACCGAACACTGTTTTATACTAGTGTGCAGACGGTTCTCCCGTCCGCACTCCGTACCTAATAATTTCTCCTGTATCTCCGAACGCCCTTTTCTTTTTCTTTTTTTTTTTTAATTATAGGATATTTCTTCTCTTTCATTTATATATAAAAAAATATATATAGAAATCTCCATAGGGGAAGGAAGGAAAATAAAAAACAACTATGAGCTAAGATTGAAGGAACAACTTCAAAAAAGGACAAAAACAAAATATTTAAAAAAAAAAGCAAAAGCTCATAGGACTCGAAAAAAACGACGCCTTCCTGCTAAAATTTCACACTAGAAGAACACAATCCGATAACCTAAATTGAGGACCCTCCATTGAAGGAAAATTTCCAAAATTACAAAAATAAAGAAAGGGCCACAAAATAAAATAGAAACGGCCCAACCAGATGAAACCCCGAACAAAAAAAAAAACATCCAGCGGCTTAGCAATAGAGGAAAAATTTAAAAGATGAACAATGAGTATACAATAGATCACCCTATAGTAGCAAAAAAAAACAAGTATCCTTTTTCACTAGAGCGGTAAAGGGATGACATCTACCATAAATATTGGAGACAAATCTCTGCAAGAAAGCGAGCTTACCTTAAAAAGATCTCAACTGAGTAAGACTCTTATGGGGTTTCAAGTCCACTATGACTTTGATCATGGAAGGATTAATTTCAATGCCACGATAGCAAACTATAAACCCTATGAACTTTTCTGCACTAACTTCAAATGCGCATTTCAATGGATTCATTTTTAAATCATACTTGTGTAGACGTTAAAAAACGATTCATAGATCTCGAATGTGATCATCCACATAGAATTTAACTTGCTCGTGTATCATCTCATCGAAGATAATAGTCATAGTATGTTGGTAGGTGGCCTCGATATTCTTGAGACCGAAGAACATTACCTTAGAAAAAAACATACCTATTGGTATGCATAATACAGTAAATTTTTCATCTTCATGGGTCATCTTTATCTTATTGTAACCAGATGAATCATCCATGAAGGAGAATATGCTATGGGATAAAGCTATATCCACCATAAGCTCGATGATATGAAGAGGAAAATCGTCCTTAGGACATGCCTTATTTAAATCACGAACGTCAATGCAGACAAGAATCTATCCGCTCTTATTCTGGACTAGAACAAAATTGGCAAGCCAATTAAGATACTTCTCTTCATGAATAAATCTAACTTTTATGAGCTTCTTAGTTTCAGTGATCACCTGTTGTTCAATCTCCAACCTCATCCTATGACGATATTGTTTAACAGGGATTACATCAGGCTTAATAGCCAACTTATGGAATGCTACTTCTGGGTTTAGACCAAGCATCTCAGTGTAATTTCAAGCAAATTAGTGTTTAAACTCTGATAGTAGCTTGATGTATTTTTGAGCCTCTAAATCAGATAGTAAGGCACTATAAAAAATGGTGTATATGATATTATTCAGTTCCCAAGTTTACCTCACACAGTTCATCCATGATAGAAGTGGTGTCATCTCTGAACTCTCATGGAGCATCAAGGACCTTGTTCTCAACATCATCCAGGTCTTTCTCAATAACTAAAGAAGAAGTGGACAAGTGCGGGGGAGGAGGAATTCGAGTGTTAAAGTTTCTCGGAGGGCGAGCTGACACTCTACCTCTATCTTTATGTCGTCCTCCCTTACCTTTACTAGGGGAACATCATGCCTAACTATAAACTGGGAAGGAGATCTATCAGGATATATAGTGGAAAAACCTACCTCAATACCAACCTATGATGGACCCTGTACTAGTGATTGCATAGGATCCTGTGTAGGTGACTTTGTAGGACCCTATGCAACACTAGCAGGTATCACTAGTGACTGGGCAGGGAGAGGTATATGAGTCTTCCAAGGCATGTAATGCTCAACATTATCGTAAATAGAGACCTCATGCATTAAAAAAGGATGAGTATCCCCAAGAATGGAATACTTCATACATTGGTGCAAGGTATAGGGCATCATTCCATACTCACGAAGTCAAGGATTTTCTAAGAGAGCCTTGTATGAAGTATGAGCTTCGATCACATAAAATTTTATCTCAGTTAGGAATTTTCCAAACTTTAAAGGCAGAGTTATAGACCCTAGAGGGCGCTGGCCTTGGTCATTGAAGCCTTTCAACATGATCTTGTCGAAGGTAAGCTTCAAATGATCTAGGGAGAGGCCATTAAAAGTTTCATAGCTAAGGATGTTAACTGAAGCTCCCTAGTCAATGAGGACCCTATTCAACTCATAACCATTAACTTTAGCTATGAAATATAAGGGATGATTGTTCTTAGAATTCCCTAAGAGAAGATCATGATTTAAAAAGGTGATGCATGATATCTCTCTTAAATGACATGCATCTTCAATAGACTTGAAAGTAAAGAAATCTTGATAGGACTCTGGCTCAAGCAGTGCTTTTATCAGGTCTCTCTCAAGTCAGGATACAACATTAAAGCATCATAGATGCTAAGAAGGGAAGAAATTTTTCTTAAGTGAGCTAATACATTATAATCAACCTCCAGCTGAGGGCCTTTTCCTTTCTCCTTAGACTACTCTTGGGAGGAAGGAATGCGATCATCCTGCTAGGTTATAATATTTTTATTTTTTGTATTTTTAGCCACATAAGTTGATGGACTTTTTTCTGAACACAAATAAACTTCCTATATTGAGTCATCCTCAATGAGAGATTCATTTGGTTTAGTAGTGATGGCTTGTGTTGGCTCTAAGGAGAGTAACTAGAGTGGGTTTTTGAATTCATCTCCTGAATTCATATAATAATCACCATCTAGAATAGTGAACACAGGTTCTTCATCACACTTAGACTTGTCTTCACATATAGAACCATTAATATTATAAGAAATATGAAGTACACGAAAAGATCAAGTGCTAAGAGAAGTAAAAATAGAAGTAGATGGAACATAAGAGCAGAAGTATCTAGAATCATCTTCTTTATTATTTCAATATCACTAAGGGAGAAAAACATTATTCAACATAAGTACTGGAAAGGGTCCCATCTTACCCTTTAAAGTTACAACAATCTTTTCTCTTTTACATATTTTCTTATTATATAGAAAAGATTAAGAAATATGCTCAGTATGTACTATAATAGAAGAAGAAAAAGAAAAGGGTACTAACAAAGTCATTGGGGTTGCAACTGTCGACTTGGCTTGGAAAGGCCTCCTCTTAACTACCTCTAAAATTTGAATTACTTGCTTGATTATCTTCTTTGTCTTCCAAGAAAGTGCTAGCTGTCACTCTTCTTAGGAACCACGAGGTGATCTACTGCCACTACTTTGACTATCACTTTGCCTGTTACTAGACTGGAACACGAAATCATCTGAGCAATCTGAGTAGTCTTGCAATGGGACTGCACAAAGTCACTGTTCTGAAGGTGTATCTTCCCACTAGCCATGAGCCTCTCAACTCTGTCTTTAAATACATATTAGTTTTCTATAACATGCTCGATGTGTCTAGGAAGGGCAATAGAGTGGGTGATCCATCTACCCCTCTTCCTCCACTCTACTGTTTGTTAGGAATATTAAGATATTCTTCTTAATAAGGAATTTGAAAATTTTTTACATTTTCTCTTTTAAATGAGTATTCCTTATTAAGCTTCTCATATATATAGATACTGCTGACACTCTCTGGAGTCATACGAAAGGGTTTAGGCTATGCTACTGACTGACCATATGTGAATAACTATTACGATGGTGCTAAACTGACTTAGGACTTCTTGCTCTTATATGATGGCCCATATGTATTATTTACCTTCCCTTTCCTAGGAGGAGGTGCCTCTGAAGACTCCTGCTATTGAGGTTTACACGAGGCCGGAGCCCAAGCGGACTATTGATTAAGGATCCTATATTATCCTTTCCAAAATGGGATTGGCACATAGGGCTAAGACTAAAAAATCCCATTCAAATGGAAAGAAAGGGTTCAAAGGGCTTAGTCAACATACATGGCTCATACTGACATCTGGAGGGACTAAGATAAGCAAAAGAAACTTGAGAAAAGAAAATCAAGCAATCAACACATGCATGAGAGAAAGATAGAAGCGGTGTCATCTATGTGATGCAGATAAGTAGGATTTATAGTCCCTGAGGAATAGAGAACTTGCCAACTATTTAGGCATACCACGAGACTGAATGTAGTAGCATTGAATCCTAAATCTAAATTGAGTTTAGTGTTTTACACATAACACTAAAAACCATGTCCTAATTAATGCAGTGCAAAACCTGGACTTAACCCGGCCTAGATTGGGGAGCCAGCTAATCACCTAATCGATTCAAAACCATGTGGTCTGATCATTTATGAAAGATAGATGGATGGTTTAGTTTTTGGAAGTTAAGGCCAACATCTAGAGAGTTTCCTAATTGGTCTTGGACTTATGTTGGGTGAATGCTCCTAGAGCTAATGCAATTAGAATTTTAGTTTAATTAATTTTTAATACAATGCATACTAGTTTGGAAGATCCAAATCAGATATGCATAAGATTTTATAAATACGCTTATAGAAAATAATTTTTTTAAAAAGATTGCGCCTCCCCAAGTCCGGCACTTCTTCCTCATAGGCCAGATTATTCAGA